CCACTGCGAAACTAGAAAATTTCCACAGTCACGCGAAATTCCCTTACCCCAGAACCCACGCACTAAACCGCGACCCCCAGCACCCATTTGCAAGAGAAATTCCCAGAAACGCCCAGCCTGTTCTTGTCTTTTCTCCCGCGTAGCTCGAACGTGAAATTCCCCAGAAACGATCCCTACGCACAAAATTCTCAGAAGACAGTCCTGTTCTTGTCTCCTTCCCCCGCGTCTCCCCCATGCGAGCTCTCCCTCTCCAGTATGTCTCGCAGCAGGGCAGGCTGGATCGTTCAACTTTGCCAGCCGACAGCAAATCGTCCTTGCAGCTGCATATTCGTCGTTGTAGCACGAGATCGAGCCACGTCGCCTCACCAGTACAAAAGATTGATCTCGTCCCTCCACCTCGCCTCCCAATCCGTTAGAATTTGGTATCAAATCGTATATTCCCTCAGCTTTGGATAAGGGTTTGGAATTTGAATTTCAAATGGGCCTGAAAGCTTTTGCCAGCCCTCTCCCGCAAGAACCCTAAATTTTTCCTCTATTTAAACCCCGTCTTCTTCAGAAAAGGGGGTTGGAAAAACTTTAGGGGAGATTTCATTGTAAGGATTTTTTCTTTAGTCAAAATTTCCGGTCTGGTTTGTCTTCACAGAAAAACAAAGAAGATATTTTACTTAGGGGGGAACCTTTTTTTTGAGTTGGACAGCTTTACCTAGCGTCAAAACACTAAGAGATTCGAGAAAATACTTCAAATATTGTGAAAATGATTGGTAGACGGGAGACTTGGCAGTGTTCTACGTTTGGGTCTAAGTTCTCGGCCGGATTCCGTTGCTTTGTCGGAAACTCGAGTCTTTGTGTGAAGTGGGGAAGTCGTTAGCTCGTTGTAGTTCCAGTTGCTGCTTTCAAACAGGTAATCCCCCCTACCTCATACTATCTCCTCGTTTTCTTCCATTTCGAAATGGTTTTTCCGTTGCTTTAGTGCTTTGGGTTTGCTGTTAATCAATTTGGCTGGTCTTTCATTTGTTCTGGATCAAATGTGTTAAAATATTCGAATGTTGAGTATACATGGCCTGTGTTGTCGTAAATATAATATGTAACATCTGTTGGTTTGGCTCGAGTTCGAGATGTATCGTGTGTTATGATTTTGTGCCATTATGTTTGCTGGTTTTGTATTGCTCTCTGTTCCGAGTTTGTCATGGCGTAGCAACCATCGTCTTATCGTAGTAGGCTTAGTTTTCTATGTTTCCGAAGATCCATGGATTGATAATACGATGTTGCATCCTTTGTTTCCCTCCCCTAGAGTTAGATGAATGAACAAGATAGCCTAGTATCGATTGATAGATTTTTATGTTTGTTGACCTCTGTTTGACGCTTGAAGTTTCCTGTATGTTCGTCTTTCTTTCCTCGAGTTTATTTCTGGCATGCCTTTTGATTCCTTACTGTTTGGGGTATTCGTTATGATCTTTTTCTCTTTACCATAGTTAAAATATAAGAGCGGTGCTTCAATCTTCTAAGTTTGTATGCACATTTATTTTGTTTGTTTCCTAGTTTATGTTTATATATATATATATATATAATTATAGTTACTGGTGGCAGTTGTAATGGTTTTCTTTTTATTTTATATTTCAATTAAATGTATGACTTTGTTGTGCACATACATATGAATAAGCATTCTTTGGCATATGTTATTTTGCATACTTGCATTATCACTAAATGTCTAATGGTAGTATGGCCATAGGAATTCCACTCACTTTGCATTTTCACTTAGGCGTAAGATTTTGTTTCTGTTCTTGCATCATAGTTAATTTGCTTCTGTTTTTTTATTTAGAATTTTTTTTAGAAATGGAGCATAACTCCCAAATTATGTTGCTTCATCACATCATACAATCAGCACATCTATCACAATATAAAATACATCTCCTCTGTTCCAAATTTATTTGATTGGAAATCATTTTCGTTTGAGTTTCAAGTTTCATATTCATTTCCTTAGTTGTTTGAATTGTTAGGATCTCGTTTAGTCATACGCTTTATTTCAAGAAAAAATGAATATGGATTTTTATAAAAAGTCTGTTTTGAGGGATATTATTTGCTTATTTTTACCTTCAAGTACCTGTTTCTTCACTATGTTTCAAGTGGCCCTAGTATTGATCGATGTTTGAGTAGTTATTAAGACATTCTTTTTTATTTTTGTTAACATTTTTTTTACTATGTTTTCCATGAATTATTGCCATGAATGGGTTTAAATTTTCTTTTTATTGTTCGCACAATATTGATGTCATTTTTATGCCATAAAGGTTTAATTAGCATGATTTATAAAGTTCATTCATCTTGCCTAAATGTTAATAAAGTGTTGTGATTTCTTTATTTGCCTTTTGTTATGTATCTACGTGTATAAATGTTTTACTTCCTATGCTTTTATGAAGCCTTCCAGTTAGTGTACTTTGTTCATACTCTCTATATTCCAAGTTAGTTACCCTATTTTGCTAATTCATTTTTTCCCTCCTCTTATTTCGGTGGCATATAAATTGCATACAAGTCCCCCGTGGACTTCTTTCTCGCATCCCAAAGAGCCATAAAGGCTTGGAAATTTTATCAAGTCAGCCCACCGAGGCATGATGTACAAAATTAAATTTCATGAAGATTGAAGAAATTTGAATAAGACGGATTAGAAGACTTCTTTATTTTTATATTTTTGTATTTTTATTTGTAATGGGCATAAGCCCTTGTCATTTTTACTTTTCTCGTATTTATTTTGTATGCCTAGACTAGGACAGGTGAAATGGGTCGAAAACCCAAACGAGAAAATGGGTTAAAACCCAAAAGCAGGTGGGTCCAAATTTCGGTCAAGGCGGACAGAACCCGAGATTGGACCCAATCTCTCTCACTCTCTCTCTCTCCCTCTTTTACTTGTTTATAAGCTTTCGTTGATTGTCGTTAGCTTAGGATTAGAAAAACTCCGAACCCCTCATTATACGTCTTACTGTTTTTATCAAACTTAAAATTAAACTAAATTTCGAAACGATAATGTTTCAAATTCGCAAGTTCGCCTAAGTAAAAACTTTAGGATGTTTAACTTCAAATTCGCAAATCTTAAAAAATATTAGTCAAATGGTTAGTTGCCGAAAAGCCGCATTAAGCGGAACGTCTTAGGTGCCTTCAAAACCTTCCTAAGACGTTAATAAGAATCCCGAACCCTTTTAAAATGTTCAAAACAATTATTCTGTTTAAGTTATTTGAAAACAAGTTTTCTTAATCTTTCTTAAAAATTAAGTGGCGACTCCTAAAAGTCGAGATCTTTTAAAACGAAATAACTCTTTCGATTTTTTTCGATAAAACATATATCAATAGCAATTGACACCAATGACATCAACCTGCAAGGACAAAAGAATGGAGATGAAAAGCTGAATACTTAGTGAGTGCCAACCAAGAAAAAATATTTGGCCTTCGTCAAAACAACTTATAAGAGCACCAATGTTGAGTAATCAATTAGAGATGAGCTGTGAGAGAACTAACAAAATTCCCAGTATCTACCTGATTTAACAATATTTGAGGAAAATGATACGAAGAATTTGTTCACTGGACTACAAACATGAGATACATTCTCATAATTTCACCAAAGCACTTAATGCCATGCAAAACTTTCGTCATCATTAGAATAGCAAAATCTAGTCTAATAATAATCAACATTAGCAACACCTAGGCCACGTTTTATGTACGTGATATTTGCCTGTAAACTATATCTGTACAATGTTTGAGATTCCTAAACTCAGCTACCAATATTCGCATCCTGCCTGCCAATGATTCCTAAAGTTCCAACTGGCACAACAAGATATACCTACTCTTGGATTACAAAATAATCTCATTTTAGCAGGAAATGAGATAATACTTTATACCATTATAAAACGAAGCATGAAAAATGACCCAGCAAGCAAAAAACTAGTACAAGCTTCCTTTCTTTTTGACTATAAAGTGCTAGCCTTTATCATCATATACAAGCTCCCGTAATTTTTTTCCTCAATATTATCACACTATAATTGTAGACATAGACACAGCAGCAGTTAGAAGTGAATTTTCAGAAGATGTACAAGCCTTACATAATCACGTTACAACATAAGAATTCATAGGATAAATATATCAACGAGGAGAAGAGGTAATAGAATTTATCTTCCGAATTTAAATGTTACATCTCTTAAATTTCAGTAGTTAAACAGGAATGGGACAGTATTTTAAAATTTCAGAGATCAAGACAACAAATGATCTCCTTACCTCTCATGAATTATTAGATCAAGATACTGAAATTGTAGATCATGTGATCCTAGACGCACCAATATCACTTCCTTCTCACTCCATTGTCAATTTTTTCCTTGTCTTATCATCCTAGCACCATTTATCATTTGATCAGAACACTAAAATCGTAGACCACGGATCCTAGATGCATAAATGTCTCTTCATACTTGCTCCGTCTATCATTACTTTCTTCTTCTCCTTTTTTTTCTCGTTATTTTTCCTTCCTATTTAGCTTATCCTCAATTTTGGTGGGCAAATGGATCTTTCTTTTCCACACAGCACTATGATTATTTATAACAGCCCCATATTGAGAATAGAAGGCCACATTGGTGTGTCAATTAAACAGCTTTCATAATGTAAGTTCATTATTGATGGAACCAACTAAAGCAGAGCTGGGTTGACAGCTAACTTTCTTTACTATTATGTAAGATTAGAAGGTTTAAAATTAATCAGCACAGGAGCTAATACAATTGCTTCAGCAGGAGCTGCTGTCTGTATTGGAAATGTTTTCAGTTCCTTAATACTGTTGCAAGAAATTAGTCATTGACAAAACCATTTGAGACCAAAGAACACCAGGGAAAAGAACCACGAAGATAGGGATAAAGAGTAACGATTGAAGCCTCCTTTGCTCTGCCAGGAACTGGACAGGGGTTAGCTCTAGCTCTGTTGAAGAGCCAAGTGAAGAAATGCAGAACTGAGAGAACCAATAGATAGTGATTTTATCTCACACGCACAAAAAAATAATAGTATTCTCTGCTGCATAATTGTCTTAATTTCACTATGGACACAAATGAATGATTAACATATAGAACGATGGAAAGGTAGTCAGAAAGGATGCAGATGCATAAGCAATGAATGGAGAAAAGGACTACAAGTGTTCTAGCACAGACGAGGCCTCACAGGTGACTAAAATTATGTTCTTCACTATCTAAAGAAGAACACAGGCAAGACGTCATGCAGATATTTTGTTAAAGAGTGTAGAGGGGCTGAAGATCTCTTTACATTTTCCCATTCTAAAGAATCATTTATTCAAGCACATCGTATATAACAGACAAGAAGTGAGGAGAATCACCTAGACTACAAGATGTAGAGAAGCAGTGATAGGAAACACAATGATGGTGTTACAAAAAAAAATTGAACTTGTAACCCATGCATCAAGTCCGAAACTTACCCTTGCTGCTCCTCTTTTGTGAGCATGATAAGTGGGGCCATTTTTATACTCTCCATACCAATAATACATTTTTGTCCTTGAATCATAAAGAATGCCTCCCTCATGAGCCTGTATCGGGTTCCCCTCTGTATCCAACCATATTCTTCTTAGGTAGTAATAGTAGGTATCATTCCCATAATCCTTCCTAGGATCCACAAAAGTCCTCTGATCAGGGAAAAACACATGCCTTATCTGGGAAGACTCGTCAAGGAATTCATCAATGAAGGTGGTTGGCTGTTTAGGCTTTTGTTTGGCAGCACGCGTGGATCGCTTCCTAGGCTGTGGAAGCTGTATATTTTCCTCCTCGACCTCTTCAAGTATGCTAAACTGTGCGCGCTGGTTTGTACTTAAGTGAGTCTCCCCACTTTGCGCATTTCTTTGATGAGCAAAGGAGAAAAGGTAAAGGAAAAGAAGGCACCCTACAACAACTGGAAATAATCTGTCCCCTGCATCACAATGTAAAATGAATGATTCCTTAAATTTTTTCTTGACCCTCATTTTATATCTTTGCTATCTTGAAAAGGTACAGAAATTCAAACTAAAGTCACAACTACAAGAAGGTATATGTGGAGCATAATTGAGACAAGAAGCACATGCTCACAACGTATGGATACATCTGCATACAAACATATATCTCGTAACTAGTTTATCAATATTTGAAAGTGCAACTTATATGAACAAGAAAGATAACAGGAAAAAAAATGTGTGAAGTGATTTGAGAGTCCTAAAGTCTAAGAAATCATTTGATGAGACATTTATAACACAATTTTCAAGTTTAACCATCCGATTTTAGCCAAAATGGTCCCTTTAAATTTATGAGAAATGGTCTTTCCGATATTGAAGCATAAATAGCCTCCAAGTTTATACATTTCAATAAGCTTTGGTCCAAGCAAACTATAACCAGATGAGAAACATCACCAAAATCAAACCCAAATTCTACGGATTGGACTAAATTTATCTCTCCAACATTACACTTACCAATTTTCTTTTCTTCCTTTTTTATTTCAGTAAAGATATTACACTAACGATGAATATCACCCACAGTATGCACTTTTGATCCCTACAGGAACAACCTATGTTGCTTGGATTCTTCAAACATGTCAGTGGATGCAAAAATAGTGTGCATTTTTGGAGGTCCGACCTGGTTGCGGCTACATTTTAGAAGAGTTGAGCAACATAGGGAATAACTACAACAACAACGTACCCCGTGTAATCTAACAGGCTACAAGTGGAGTCGGGATAAGGTTACACATATCTTATCTCTACCTCTACAAGAGATGCAAATTTAGCTAGACGCATAGCATAGGGAATAACTATAACAACACACATAACAACAACATACCCAATGTAATCACACAAATGAAATTTGTAGAGTATAGATTGTACGAAGACCTTACCCTACCTTGAAGAGATAGAGAGATATTTATAACACAATATGTGAAGTGATTCGAGAGTACTAAAGTCTGAGAAGTCATTTGATGAGACATTTACAACACAATGTTCAAGTTAAACCATCCAGCTTTTGACCAAAATGGTCCCTTTATATTTAGGAGAATTGATCTATCCAACTCTGGAGCATAAATAGCATCCAAGTATACACATTTCAATCAGCTTTGGTCCAAGCAAACGATAACCAGATGAGAAACATCACCAAAATCAACTATTAGGCCTGAATTTTGTGGGATTCGAGCATGACACAGACTCACCATGCACTTACACCTATCCTCTTCAATTTCTCACTGAGGTGCTAACAATTCCGGGATTGCAACTAGTGTCCTCACTTTAAAACAAAATGTTCATTTTTCACACAATGATTTCAGTTTGAGTATAAGGATTACTTTTCAACACTCGCTCTCATAACAAAGTCACACTCATTCATACCTATTGTCATAAGCTTGCCCTTATTTTCACTGCCTGAAATTCACTATACAACCCTTAGGATCACGATAGGACTTTCTTAGCTTGTAACATAGGCTCAGGGTCAGGTAGGGTATATTTAGGTATACTTTAGTGACTTTTTTCCCTCCTTGACATATCGGCTAAACCTTCCACTTTCTATCACTTTATCTCGCCCAATTTCTCCCATTCTTTCACCTTGCTATTATCCCTTCTTTTTTCATTTGTGTAGGTGACTCTTTTCCTCTCTTTTTTCAACGAGTTCTTGAGTCACTTTGCTTTTGTTCTTTCTCTCTCTTTGTTCTTTCAACCCCACCACCCTCAACTCATGGCTTTGCCATGAGTCAAGGTACATAATACCCAAAGTCGGTTCAGGGCCATAACGAAGGTTGTTTATGCATTAGCCACCATCAACTTATGCTTTTGGCATAAGCTGAGGTGCACATGTCCAAGGAGGGACCAGGGACAACATAATGTTCCCAGAAAAGATCAGTTGGGGTGAAAAAGAAAGGTCTAATTTTAAGCTCAGGTTATTTGGATCAAAGAAGGATAACTTTCATTTGGTTTCTTTTATTTAGGCTAGAAATGGGCTATCTTGAATAAGGGCCTATAATCCTTTCCTAATTGTCTGATACAGCTTACTTCTAGCAGGACTAAATAGGCAAGTTCCAGCTCAGTACCAATAGTGGACTATTCAAATTTCCTCACACTCACTTGACATCTCATCCTATACCAGATTCTTAGATACCTAGATCGAATTGAAGACTTAGGGTAATGCAATGGTGTAATTCTATTTCATGCTTAGAGCCATACAATTATCAATTACTATGCCTAGTCATGCAACATTTTCCAGTTTTCTCAGGATATCATTTTAGCCATCATGCTTCAGAGTTAAAATATGTACAACAGATATAAACATGCCGGTTCAACAAAAAAAGTAATCAGTCTTTTGGGGAAAAAGAACACAGGCAAGAAAACCCCAAAAGAGAATAGTGAGTTGGGCTACTCAGACTTCACCCTACACTCACTTTCCCTTTACCCCACCCCCAACAAAAAAAGCATGCAATTGTCCCCAATGCATAAAAAAATCTAAATATTAGAGTGGTAGGTGAAGCAAACCTGTGGCGCAAAGCGCCGTCGATCAGCAAGATGGTGGGTCCAGTTCCCCGGAACCCACGTCCTCTGCAATCTGGACACCCTCAATTGTATCCTCAGCAACACCCGCACCATCAGTAGTGCCTCCTGCTGTCTCTATAATGCGGGATCTAGACGCCCCAGCCGCTAACTGTGATGCTCTGATCTGGTGCGCCTCCTCCTCAGCAAGTGAGGCTCTCCTCGCAGCCTCCATCTTTCGGCGCTCCTTCTTCCTTGATCGCGCCTCATCCTCTGCTCGACCCGTACGCCTCTTAGCAGTCTCTCGAGGGGGAGGTGGTGGAATGTCTAAAGTAGTAAACAGGGCTGCTAGCACGGTGTCCTCAACAGGCTCGACAGAAGGGGCCTCAGACTCCGGCACCCTCGCCTCTAGGATCGTGTCGATGTTGGCACGAAGACTGTCGACTGCAGCCTGAAGAGTCAACACATCCACCGGAGAGGCTGGACGGGCTAACACTCGCAAATCAAAGGCGTCCAGATGCTGGTTGACCTCAGCAATCTTCCTCTCTGTAAACTGTTGCATCTTCCTCTCTAGACGCGCTTCAGACTCAGTAGTCGACTTCTACATCCACGGCTGGATATGATGCAGAAGAGTGGCCATCTGTACCTCTAGTTTTTGGAACCTAGCAAGCGGGACCAGTACCGGTAGAGGGGCTGTGCAAGAGGAGCTCGGGGCTAGGCTACTACCCGAGATAGACTCGATCGGGGTAGTGTCAGTGGATGCCTGTGTAGCTGCGCAGGTCTGGGCTACCGTATCCGCAAGATCATCAGCAAGTGGTGGCAGCTTTGGACGGGTCCCTCTACGTGGGGCCAACTCATTGGCCTCGTCTCTGATAAGGCCGACGTCAACGGTGCCCTGCGGGGTCTTCAACTGATCTATGTGCCATATGGGCACACCTGCTGACCTGCAAAGGGCAAAGATCATACACGGGAAGGGGTAGGTAGTAATGACCTTGAATGCCCTCTCGTGCATGACTGCCTGGAGAAGCCATGCGAAGTCCACCTCGAATCCGGCTATCATCGCCGCCATCAACACTGCTCGATCCCAGGTGACGATGTTATCAGCAGCTGTGGGGGAAAGGCAGTAACGGACAAGCAGCCACAAGAACTTTGCGACGAACGTGAGGTTGGCCTTCTTGATGGACCCCTTCGGCTCAGTGACCCAATCGGCACCCTCTCCATCTACTGACAGGTGCAGGGCCATCCACCTCTTGGTGGTTTCTCTCAGTGCTGGCTCACGCAAAAACTGTCCATCCTTTACTATCTGCCAGCGGTAGTCAAACTCGGTAGTGATGGGGGTCCATATAGCATCTGAACTCTCGCCATATAGGAACCGGCGGATAGCTGGCAGGGAAATGTCAACCTGCACACCCCGGACTCGAACTTGCTCCAGTGGGGCCTGTTTAGCGGGAGCAGCCCGCCTATCGATCTGTGATCGGAGAGTCGCTACGTAGGATGCGTAGAACTCTCGAACCATTTCCTTGCTGTATCGTCCCAACAGACGTGCTGTCCACTCTAAGCGATGCCTAGTGAAGAGGTTATGGATCTCCGGCATCGTTGGGAGACTCCCTGTAAGTACCCGTCGCTCCAAGGTTAGTGTCCGAGTCATTACTCCTTTATCAGTCAGGAACTTGGCGTCGGAGTAAACTTGAAATTGGCCATCGACACACCACCGGTTTGGCTGGTCAGAGGCTGGGGTGGGGACCTGAGATGGTGCGTCGGATGTAGAGTCTGAACTGTCAGCCTCATCAGACGAGGCCGATGCTGCAGCAGTGGCGGGTGCGGGAACCTCAGCAGAGCCTGAAGCTTCCTCGGACCATGATACTCCTAAGGAGCCAGACGCTCCTTCCTCATTTGTGGATGACCCAGGGGTGTGCCGGTCAGTGTGCGCTCCTCATCAGGCTGGGAGGCAGTGACTACGTCGGACGCCACCTTTTTGGGTGTGGCTCTGGGAGCACATGCAGCACGGGAAGGGGCGGAGGTGCCTGGGGGCATATACTCAGGGTTCCGCTCATCATCAGAGCCGATGATCAAGCGTGCAGACGGGACAACAGACTTTGATCGCCCGCGTGCGTAGGTTCGGTCTTGCTTGGGTGCCATAGTAGATAGTACCTACAAAGGATCACTATTAGTACGAGTAGTGACAAACAAGACAAGCGAAACCATACGATATAAAACAGTGAAAATAATATGTAAATGTTGTATAAACAGTGACACACGACGGGCCTAGTGACGGCTCGTCGTGACTATGATGGACCGTCGTGAGGTCCGTCGTGAGGTCCGTCGTGAGGTCCGTCGTGGTGTACTTGGACTCTGTATAAATAAAGAACCCTGAAAGAGGGTCTCAGACTAGCATGACGGTGTGTGAAGGACGGACCGTCACAGTTACGACGGTCCGTTATAGATGTCCATCGTAGGACACTTGGGAAAAAAAATGGAGACCCTTAAGAGAGGGGTCTCTGACTGCTACGACGGTCATACAGGACGGACCGTCGTGGGTACGACTGTCCGTCACAAGTGTCCGTTGAAGGACACTTGGGAAAAAAATGGAGACCCTTAGGAGAGGGGTCTCTGAAAGGTATGACGATCATGCAGGACGGACCGTCGTGGGTACGACGGTCCGTCACGTGTGTCCGTTGAAGGACACTTGGAAAAAAAATGAGAGACCCCTGGAAAAAGGGTCTCTGTCTAGTATGACGGTTATGCAGGATGGACCGTCGCGAGGACGACGATCCATCACATGTGTCCAGTAGGACAGGGGTGCTAGGGCTTGTGCAACGGACCCTACGACGGTCCATCATCGGGGTCTCGTTCTGAATGACAGAGACAGAACTGTAGATACCCTAAGAAACCCCGATGAACCCACATGGTCTTGTAGTGTTGTGGACCTATATGTGTCTATCCCAACTACCTAGGAAACTATTAATGCAAAATCACCTATGTCTAGGGTTGTCAACATGGCAAATTCGAACATTTTGAGCCTGGGTTTAGACATAATCATATAAAGAAAACAATATACGACTAAGAACTAAGCTAATACTAACTAATACACAAAAATAAAAGATCAATGAGTATAAATTTAGAGACACATACCTTAGAAATGGAGAAAAAGCAAATGGAAAATGACTCAGTTGGCAGGGTAGACACCTACAGCAGCAACTTCGACTAGTATATGATAGTTTTAAGGCCTTGGAGAATTGTGGGGGTAATGATCAGTGAGGGGGAAATGTGGAAGTTGAAAAGAGAGGGGAGATGAGAGGAATAAGGCATTAATGGGGTGAAAATGAGGGGTTGGGGGGTTTAAATGGTCAGATTTTGAAAAGGGGTCCAGCCGGGTCGGGTCAGGTATAATTCATTAATCACGTGACGGTTCCCCGATGACGGTTCGTCGCAGTTGTGACGAACCGTCGTTGGTTCCGTCGTGTGTGCCCTAATTTCAATGTAGCAGAAAAACATACCTGGACGACGGATGCATACGACGGTCCGTCGCATGCGCAACGGTCCGTCGATGTATCCGTCAGTGGCTGCTGCGGAGTAGTTTTCTGCAGAATTTCCTGGTGATGTACCTGCAAATTTAAAAACCCATTAGTAGAAAAATGTTATCCTTACTAAAAAAACGACAAGAATTGGGTTGCCTCCCAACAAGCGCCTTATTTAATGTCGCGGCACGACTAGGGCCACTTGATTACTCAGACTTCATCAAGATGGTATGCCTCGATCACTTCATTCACCGATCCAGCATGCCCGAGATAGATTTTTATGCGCTGTCCATTCACCTTGAACCGCACACCCTCCTAAGTTTCCAACTCAACTGCTCCATGAGGGAATAGTTGGGTAACCGTGTAAGGACCAGTCCATTTGGACTTGAGTTTGCCTGGAAACAAGCGCAATCTGGAATTGAATAAAAGCACCAAATCCCCGACCATAAACTCTCATTTTTAAATTTTGTTGTCATGATACTTCTTCATCTTTTCTTTGTATAGGGCTGAGCTTTCATAGGCTTTCAAGTGAAATTCATCAAGTTCATTTAACCCATTTAACCGTTGCTCTGCAGCTTCGCTCCAATCCATTTTTAACTTCTTCATAGCCCACACGGCTTAATGCTCTAACTCAACCGGAAGATGACAAGCTTTCCCATATACAAGTTGGTATGGAGACATACCTATGGGAGTCTTATATGCTGTCCGGTAGGCCCAAAGAGCATCATCAAGCCTCCTTGACCAATCCGTTCTACTAGCATTCACTGTTTGGACAATATATGTTTGATCTCCCGATTCGATACTTCAACTTGCCCACTAGTTTGAGGGTGGTAAGGAGTGGCCACATTATGGTGAACCCCGTATTTCTCCAATATCCCCTTGAACAATCTGTTGCAGAAGTGGGAGCCCCCATCACTAATAATGGCCCTTGGGGTGCCAAAACGGGAGAATATATTCTTTTTCAAGAATGCAGTGACACTCTTCCCTTCATTGTTTGCGAGGGCTATGGCTTTGACCCATTTAGATACATAATCAACTGCTACTAGAATGTACTTCATTCCATGAGAACTCACGAAAGGGCCCATAAAGTCAATACCCCAAACATCAAATAACTCAATCACAAGAATGGGGTTTAGAGGGAGCTCTTGCTTTCTTGAAATACCACCATCTCATTGACATTTGTCACGGGCTTTAGCAAACCCATGAGCATCTTGATGAAGAGTTGGCCAATAGTAACCACATTGTAATATCTTGTGAGCGGTTCGGATACCACTGTGATGTCTGCCAACAGGTGAAGAATGGCATGCCTCCAACACACTCAACATTTCACATTTTGGCACACAACGCCGAATAAGCCCGTCGGCGCAAATCCTATACAAGTATGGTTCATCCCAAAAGAACTTCTTCACATCGTACATGAAATTTTTCCTTTGATGAAAGGACAAGTCTGATGGAACAATGTCACTAGCCAGATAGTTCGCAAAATCTACGAACCATGGAATCAAGTCTTGTGAAGCACCCAATACATGTTCATCGGGGAAAGTATCATCAATGTCAGTCTTATCCCCTAACTCTCTCATAGCTTCATCCTCTAGACGAGACAAATGATCAGCAACTTGATTTTCAGTCCCTTTTCAATCCAGCACTACAAAGTCAAATTCTTGCAGTAGTAATACTCAACGAATCAGCCTAGGTTTCGCATCCTTCTTCGCCATCAAATATCTCAATGCTGAATGGTCAGTATGCACTATAACTCTAGTACCTAGCAAATAGGAGCGAAATTTCTCAAAATCAAAGACTACTGCAAGGAGTTCTTACTCAGTCATTGTGTAGTTCTTCTGAGCTTCATTTAGGGCTTTACTAGCATAGTAAATTGGGTGAAGGATTTTGTTTCTTCTCTGTCCCAATACTACACCAAGAGCCACCCCACTAGCATCGCGCATTACCTTAAATGGACTGTTCCAATCCGGAGAAATAATGATAGGCGCAGACACTAACTTCTCTTTCTCCAGCAATTTGCACAATGGGTGTGTAATCTTTGAAAAGTCTTTGATGAATCTCTGGTAAAAACCTGCATGCCCAAGAAAGCTTCTCACACCTTTCACGGAGATCGGCAGGGGAAGTCTCTCTATGACCTCAACTTTAGCTCGATCAACCTCTATGCCCTTTTCTGAAATGCGATGACCCAACACAATACCCTCTTTCACCAGGAAATGACACTTTTCCCAGTTTAGTACCAAATTGCAGTCTTCACATCTCTTAAGAACCTCAGATAAATTGGTCAAACACCGCTCAAATGAATCACCAACCACAGAAAAATCATCCATAGAAACTTCTATAGTATCCTCCACCATGTCAAAAAATATTGACATCATACATCTCTGAAAGGTTGCGGGTGCATTGCACAACCCAAACAACATTCTTCTGAACGCAAAAGTTCCATATGGACAAGTGAAAGTGGTTTTCTCTTAATCTTCTGGTGCAATAGAAATCTGATTATACCCCGAATACCCATCAAGAAAACAATACCACCCTTTTCCGACAAGTCTATCCAACATCTGATCCATGAAGGGCATAGTAAAATGGTCTTTTTCAGTCCATGAGTTCAGTTTATGATAATCCATACACACCCTCCATCCAGTAACCGGTCTCATTGGAACAAGTTCATTCTTCTCGTTGGGGACCATAGTCATTCCCCCTTTCTTAGGTACACACTGAACCGGGCATACCCAACTACTATCGGTGATTGGATAGATTACTCCGGCATCCAACCACTTGATGATTTCCTTCTTCACAACCTCTTGCATAGGAGGATTCAAGCGTCTCCGGTGCTCAATACTCGGCTTACGATCAGGCATGAGTTGGATTTTATGAGAGCAAATACCAGGAGGGATCCCAATAATGTCCGCAATGGTCCACCCAATAGCTCTTTTGAACCTTTTTAGTACCTTCACCAAACTCTAAACCTGTTGTTCATCCAGGTCTGATGCAATGATTACCGGCAAAGTGCCACCCTTTTCTAAGAATTCATACCTGAGATGAGGTGGGAGAGCTTTTAGTTCTAATTTTGGAGCTT